TCTGGCCTAAAGAAATCTGGTCACAATATGTTAATGATTTATCAGATCTTAAAGAACCTGGATATGAAACAAGAGCTATAGACTGTTTATCCACCATGATCCATAATTCTCTTGAACATGTACCACAATGTCTAACTTATATGAGCCAGATTAAAAATCAAAGTGTCTTCACCTTTTGTGCCATCCCACAAGTAATGGCTATTGCAACTTTGGCTTTGTTATTTAGAAATTATAATGTTTATAAAGGTGTTGTTAAAATTCGTAAAGGTGAAGCTATAAAGGTGATTCATTCACTTGTTCATTCATTCATTTTTTATGGTAAAATTTTGGCATGATTCAAATTAATATAATTAATATATAATTAATTGGCCTGACTATATATTTATATTTATATTTATATTTATATTTATATTTTGTTAGTTGATTTTGAAAGCCACAAATATTTATGAAGTAGCAAATATTTTTATAGAATTTACAAAGGTAATTATTCAAAAGAATAATTCAAAAGATCCAAATTTTATGAAGATTAGTGTTGCCTGTAGTCAGGTAAGGAGAAGAGGAATATTATTATTGTTAATCTTTCTCCATTTGTTATTTTCTATCATTGCATTAAATTAATATCATATATCTATTTATATAGATTAAACAATGGTGTCATACTAATCTACCAGATTTGGATAAATATAATTCTGGTACATTATCATCCCAATTGAAACCTAAAGATTCACAAAATGATAATGATTTATTGATTTTTTTTAGTTTTTTATTACTAGCATTTACTGCTTATTTATTATATTATTGTAAGGAATATTTTTATTATGATGGATTAGAAATTTTAGATTTATTCTATTCATCATAATAATTTTTTTGATTATTCTCCTCCTCACTTTCTTATTCTTATCAGAATAAATTTTTTTAAAAAAAATGTATTATTAAATAAAAATTAAGCCAATAACATATAGCAATGATCCACCAAATCTGTAAACAAAAAATTACTTGTAAAAAAGGGGCAAGCGAGGCCTTTCTTTTATTGGGATTTAGTTTGTGCAGAAAAGATTTTGTGCACATAATTTTTGGGAATAATGGATATGTTGTGCGTGAATTTTAAATTGAAATTGACACACAACAGATACACAGTGAATCTCAGTTTAGTGGTCGATTTAGCAGGTGCTAATTTAAAATCTTGGTTTAACACCTTCTTGATAACAGTTTCTTGAAAATTTCCCAAACTATCCATTAAACCAAGATTCACTGTGTAGTTGTCTAGCTTCGCTTCAAGTTCCCAAAATATACATTTAAATATCAAGTCTAATTAATAATACCAATGATTTATTTTTTCACTTCAAGTATTCTTTCCTGAGTAAATGGATAATAACAATAACTTATGGAAACCAAAAATTTGCTATTTAATTACCATCATTAAGTCAATTATGATAAAAATCACTAAAAAATATAAAGTTTTAATTCAATTTTGGCATGAGTAAATTGATGTATTGTAGTGAAACAAATATTTTATTTGAATTTTTTTAGAAAATGTAACACAAACTCTGCATATGTCGTCGATTAGATGAAAAATTTTTACTATTACTATATTAATATCTAATTTGAAAATATGGGAAAAGCCAAAAAAGAAAAAAATAGAATTGCAAGAGAACAAAGTAAAAAAGGAGGAAATGGTCAAGTCAAGAGAGGAAGTGGTGGTACTAGTGGCGGTGCTGGCAACTTAAAGGTTAAAGGTGAAAATTTTTATCGGGATGCTAAAAAAGTAAAATTTATGAATATGATTAAATCGGGTAAGGCAATACGAAATGCAAAAGGGAAAATCGTAAAAGAAGCTCCATTTCAAAGTAAAAAGGCTGTAACCGGAAGAGTCCAACCAAATAGAAGATGGTTTGGTTAGTTTTAATTGAATTAATTATTTTTATAATGCAACTATTTAATGATAAAGATTTTTTTAAAATGAAGGTAATACTAGAGTCATTGGACAAAAAGAATTGGAGGCTTTTCGTGAAAGTTTAGGATCAAAAGTTGATGACCCATATCAAATTCTTCTTCGACAAAATAAATTACCAATGAGTTTATTAACAGACCCAACAAAGGTATCAAGAATGCATATGTTGGAGACTGAAAAATTTTCAGATGCTTTTGGTCCAAAGGCACAACGAAAGCGTCCAAAAATAAATGTAAATTCTTTAAAAGATTTAGCATCAAACACAAATGGATCAATAGAACAATACACTGAAAAAAACGACTCATCACTTCTTTCTAATGTCATAACTGATTGGACAGAAGAAGCTCGTGACAGTGTATTCTCAAAAGGAAAATCAAAGCGTATATGGAATGAGTTGTATAAAGTATTTTAATCATTTATTATAATAATAATAATCTTATTTTAGTAGCAGTAGTTGTATAATAATTATTTTATTAATTAAAAAAAGATGATATCATTTTCTTATTTAGGTTATCGATTCTTCTGATGTTGTAATTCATGTATTGGATTCTCGTGATCCAATTGGAACCAGATGTAAAAACGTAGAACAATATTTGAAAAAAGAATCAAATCATAAACATTTGATATTTTTATTAAACAAATGTGACCTTGTTCCTACATGGGTTACGGTAATTATTATTATTATTGATTTTTATTTTTTATGATGCCATATTACAGTCAGGGTTACTTTTTTTATTGTCAATAATAAAATAAGAGTTTTCCCGTTACGTATATGGCAGATTCAAATTTATGGTTTCATTCGAATTACTTGTATTAAGCTAATCGTAATGAAATCGAATGATTCAGAGAAGTTGAAAGCAAACAATAACAATAATTACTAAAAGATTTTGCATTTCATAGTATTGGATCATACATACACACATTATTTTATTATTATTATCATTAACAAAATAATATAAAATAACAATAATTTTAATATTATACATTTATTTATTGATAAAGGCAGGATGGGTTAAACAATTATCAAAAGAATATCCAACTTTAGCATTTCATGCAAGTATTAATAATCCTTTTGGCAAAGGCTCATTAATACAATTGTTACGTCAATTTGGATCATTGCATTCTGACAAGAAACAAATTAGTGTTGGATTCATTGGTTATCCAAATACTGGAAAGAGTTCAATTATCAATACTTTAAGAAATAAAAAAGTTTGCAATGTTGCTCCAATTCCTGGAGAAACCAAGGTATATATATATATAAAATTTTGAGTTTTTTAAAAGAAAATATCATAATTAAAATTTCTTTGGTAGGTTTGGCAATATATCACCTTGATGAAAAGAATATATTTGATTGATTGCCCAGGAATTGTCCCACCTTCACTTGAAGATAGTGAAACTGATATTGTTCTAAAAGGAGTTGTATGTATGCCATATATTATTATTATCAATTATCAATATCATCACCATTATTACCATTACCATTACCATCACTGTTATCATTATTTCATTATCTTACCATTGTATTATTATTATTATTTATAGGTAAGATTTTCTAATCTTAAAACACCCGAAGATTATATTCCAAACATTTTAGAACGTGTTCGTAAAGTATATTTACAACGTATATATGAGATAAATGAATGGGTCGATCATATGGATTTTCTTGAACAAATTGCTAAAAAATCAGGAAGATTATTAAAAAAAGGTGAACCGGATATTCATACTGTAGCAAAAGTAGTTTTAAATGATTGGTTACGTGGTAAAATACCTTATTTCACACCACCACATCCTTATTCTTCCACCGATGAGAATAAGAATGATAATGATGTTGATGACGACAGCAATAAGAATGATAATGATGTTGCTGATGACAGCAATAAGAATGATAATGATGTTGCTGATGACAGCAATAA